ACATCAAATTCAATTGAGTATTTTGACTATTTGTTTTACAAATGAAATCTAATATTAATCATTTGTAATGATGCTCCATGGAACACCTGTAAACGTGCTGTCATATAATTTACGGTAAGGGAGTTTTAGTAATGTGAGATGTCATTATAGATCTCTGCTACTTGATCTCTAGTGAAAAGTGGGACAAGTGGGTGGTTTTTTAACGAAGCAATTGATTTTCAGATTAGAGAACAGGAAATATCCAGGATTCCCAATTTGAAAATATGTTCTAATTTCTAGACTTCTCTAAATGTACTGATAAGAAACAGAAAAAAAGGCATAGATATTTGAATGTTTTGACATTCAAAAACCAGATTTTGACCTCTAGGTTAATTGAAGATTTTTTTTTCACTGTTAACAAGATTGCTTTTTAAAGACATTTTAAAATTGTGGTATTTAACATGAAACTAAATATCTTTATCATTTATGGAAAATGTCATCTTTTTTTCCCCTAAAACTGTGTTCTCAACTGTAATCAAATATGAATAAAATTTTGACTGAAAAGGGATGGGGTATACAATTATAATGAATCTTATTATAAGTATTTTTTTTTCAGTTTCCCTTTTTATAATTCAGTAGTGGTCTCCCTTCTAAAATGTATATACACAAAGATATGTGATACTTTGCAAAACACAGGACGTGCTTCTATTTAATACCAATGTTCTTACTGGTAACAACTTGGACCCTTAGATTTCCTAGTACATATTGTCTCATTTAATGCATGATAGGAGAAAACTGGATTAATTTAAACCTGTTTTTCGGTGCACAATGAAGAGGCCACCAGAAAACATATATAAGGTGTGACTGTAAAATAGTGAGCATGATTTTTCAGCTATATTTTTGATTGTATAACCTGAGAAGTATTGTCCTTCAAATTTATTAGATATTTATTGCACTTAAAACACCAAATAGCCACTGCTGAGCCTGAGGGCCTGGGGCCCTGAGCTTATTTACTTTTCCAATTAGGGGCCTCTTTGCTCTGGACTCATGCACACTGTTGGAAATTGGTTCAGTACTGGGGAACTTGACCTTTTGTGATTGGGCTTCTCTGAGTTGAATTCTCTGCCTCAGTTACTTAGGAACAAATTATTTAAAGCTAATGCTTATGTCTTAGTTCTCCCCAAAATGAGAGGTTAGAAAGATATTTAATGTATACTGTAAGTAGGTTATGGGACAGATATTTATTTCCTACCCACAAAAGAAAAACTGAAAGCATAAAATACAATGCACGTTGGCAGAATGACTTGAAACAGGACTGAATAATTTACAATTACAATCTCTTGGAAAAAATCAAGTAGTTTCTAGCACTACTGATTAGGCATTTTATAATTAATCTTAGCACTTTACTGTCTCTCACAAAGCCCATGTTTTCTGGAAATCTAGGACAGGTCTCAGATCTACACTTTTGGTGGTGGTGGTCTTACTTTACCCTATGAATCTCTCAAACTCACTAGTTATCTTCAAGCTTGACCACCTCTGTTTCTTGGAAAATAGTTGGTCATGTACTCAGGTAAGGATACACAACTCAGAAAATGACACTAAGTGCCTATATGCAAGCTTACTTGAGTCCATACTTCATCTGGGAGCTGCATAGGAGTAGAGAGGAAGAAGATTTCTCTTTCACCCATTACCTTATGGGAAGTAGATGAAGGAAGATGAGCCAGAAATTAGCTCTTCTTTTTAATTGATATGTCAGTCCAGGGGAACTGAAGAGAGGAAGAACAAAGGACAAATCAGGGTTTACCACATCATATCAAAATGATAGTTTCTTTCAGGACTGAGTTACCACACACCCAGATGGAGCTAGGGTGTTCATCGCCTCTGATATACCCAAAGGCTGAAGCAGAAAAATCATCTTTCTGCATGTTGCATGAGATGCTCCTACTATGGAAATAATCTACCATTATATTTGGGAATTTTCTGAAATTGCCAACCCACTTATCACCCCTCTATCTATCCACATATATGTATTTGTATATACAAGTATGTATATGCCTGAATACATGTATGCATAAGTAACTGTGTGAGTTTTCAGAGAAGGCTCTAAATGTATATGTGTATTCACACACTAAAGATGCATATATACATAAATACATACATGCATACATATAATGTGCCATGTGTTTAGTTGATATGTTTAATTTTTATATTATGGTTATTTATGAAAATGTGCCCACCCCATCCACACTATGCTGAGAATTAGATCCTCTTTATAAGAAAAGAAAACAGCTAATGCAGTGACTGTCAGGCAACATATACAACATTCTCCTCATATGATCTGTTGGGAGGAGGTGAGTATCATTTGTTCTCTGGGACCATTTTTTTTTCTCCAGTTGGGCTTCCTTTGCCAATCTACATTTTATTTTTTAATAGTAAATATATTGTTGGATCATTTCATTCTACATCAATTCATGCAAATCTTCCTGTTTCTCAAAACTCCTTATGTTTATAATATCCTGCTACTCAATGATATTTTATTATATTTATCTACCTCAATCAGCTGACACCCAATGTTATTTTTATTTCTTTGCTACCACAAAAGAAGCCCCCATATTTTGGTATAAATCACATCTTTTTTTCTGTCATTGAACTCCTTTCAGTATATATTCAGCTGGGGATTTCTGATCCAAAAGGTAGGAAGAATTTAGTCAGTTTCTTCACATAGGTCTAGACATTTTCTTAACCATTTACTAGAATAATTAGACCAATTCACAGTTCCACTAATAGCATAATAGTAGTGTGCTTGTCTTACAACACAACCAACATTAAATATGCCTTTTTAACAACAACAAAAAAAAACTCTACCAACTTTCAGGGTATAAGGTAGAGTTTTTTTTTAATTCTCATTTTTCTTGTTTGTTTTTGTTTTTAGGCAATTGGGATTAAGTGACTTGCCCAGCGTCACACAGCTAGTAAGTGTCAAGGGTTGCGTCTGAGGCTGAATTTGAACTCAGGTCCTCCTGACTTCAAGGCCAGTGCTTTATCCACTGTTCCACATAGCTGCCCCTCGTTTTCCTTATTAATAGCAATTTGGAACATGTTTTCATTAGTTATTTATAGTCTGAAATTCTTTGAAAACTACTTTTTTGCATCACTTAAGTGAATAGTTCTTGGCCTTATAAATTTGAGTTAATTCCCTATATAGCTTAGATTTCAGATTTTATCAGTGAGATTTGATGCAAAGAATTTTCCTACCCAACAGTTTCTTTTTTTTTAATTCAACATTTTGTTTATGTATAACTTTTAATATTCTGTAATGACAAGTTTCATTATGTCTTTCATGATCAACCAATCAATAAACAAGTAATAATTAAAGGTCTTCTTTGTGCCAGATGCTATGCTAGGTCTTAAGGACTCTAAATCTCTAATCCTATGAGTATTTACAAAGGAAACAGTGGGATATAGGGGGAAGAGGTCCTTTGAGTCAGGGGGGATCAATGTTATTCTTTGCCTATTCCCTTGTCACCTACCCCTTTTGATATCACAGCAGCTTCCCTTTGGGTCTATGTCCTACTGCTCATCCACTGTCAAACCATATGCTCCTGTGATAGCAGTCACTGCCTCCTACTTAGTAGGATTTGGTCCCAGGAGAAACAACCACTGCATGTTTGGAGAGGTTATCCTGTTTGCCCCAAAAGACTTCACTGCAAGCTCTTTCCCTCATCTTCTCCATGTGCGGGTCACTGCATGATGCAAGCAGAGTGTTTATCTCTGTTTTGTGGACCTGACTCCTACTTCTGCCTCTGTGACCTAACTCCATCTTCTGTCCATTCGAGGTTTAGATGATGTGCTAACTCCCATAGGGACCCTTTCCTGATAGCCCCATTTGTTAGCATTTTCTCCCTCTTCAAATTGTTGGGGGAATTATTCCTTAGTTAAAGACCTTCTTCAGTATTTGTTACATTTTTATAGAAGAATCAAGTTCTCTCTCAGTAATCCTTATCAAGAAAAAACCTTGCCAAGGAATCCACAACCCAGTCACCTAGGTCTAGTTTAGTGTCAGCATTCTGCCCTTCAAGCATAGTACTTAAGAGAAATTGTTAGATTTTGCAAACCTTAGTGCTGGCGAAATCATTGCACAAATGTGTATTGATTATCTACTATGTGCAAATGTGTATGCTAGCTAATGTTGAGGAAATTAACAACTTATTTATTGCTTTAAAGGAACTAACTTACTGTCCATTGAGCCCCACCCAGAAAGGTTAAGTGACTTCCCCTAAGTCACCCAGGTAGTAAATATTATAGTCAAGATTAAAAGTCTATCTCATTTGACTCCAAATTCACTGTTATTTCCACTACATTATGTTGCCTTCTTTACTAGAAGATACAAAGATGTGGAGACTTCCCATGGAGAAGATAATATTTAAGTTGCTCCATGAGTAGGAATTACTGCAGTCAGAGCTATAGGACAGAGGACAATTTTAGGAGGAGAAAAGGAGACAATGTGAATAAAGTTGTGGAAATAGAAAATTGTAGGTGTTTGAGGCAGAGAGAAAGTAGAACACTAATACCTGCCACACAGAGTAGAAGAAAAAAAGTATTAATGTAAATGCTGTATTCTACATTTAGGCACCAGTTTACCAGAAAGTCTTATTTAATTTAGAATATTAATCTACATCCAGTTTAGAGATGTAAATGTACAACTTAACATAGTCTTCCATGCCCTCTGACTTTGCTCCAAAACAGTTTTATGCAGGGGCAGCTAGGTGGCATAATGAAGAGAGCACTGGCCCTGGAGTCAGGAGAACCTGAGTTCAAATCCAGCCTCAGACACTTGATACTTACTAGCTGTGTGACCCTGGGCAAGTCACTTAACCCCAATTGCCTAGCAAAAAAAAAGAAAGAAGAAAAACCAGTTTTATGCACAAGGAAAAGATAGCTTATATTACAGCCTGGATTAACAGTCTAGAATTGAGCAACAATATTTTTATATCCTTCCCCCCATATACTCTCTCCTCTAGGAATCAGTGGGTTCCTCCCACAGATCTATATCTGGAATCTAACTTCCTACCTCCCCTTTGAAGGGAAGAAGGTAAGAACTTCGTCTAATCTAATCAGAGGGAAAAGATTGCTCTTAGTTTGGGGAAAGTGTTCTTATCTGGTTATCATCCTTAATCTGTTTATCTAATGAAAGCTCCTTTTTCTTCTTGTTGGAAACTATCCCACCTTAACAAAGGACTGGGCAGAAAAATAACGTCTTGTTTCTAAAGGAACTAAAAGGAGATTTTCAATATACTTCCACAATAATAAGTCTTTAATAAAGGATTATTGATTGTTGATTGAGACTTGAAGTTACATTTAGCCAAGTTTTACTATTTCATTAATACTTATATGAGTTGGAGTGGAGGGGGAAGACAGTGACAAGTTTTAGTCTGAATTAGTTAAGTGATTTTCTTGTTTTTCCCCCTTCACTATGTTTCCTAGATGATTAGCTAATGCTTTGGGTCTTTCTGGATTTTTATTTATTTCTTACAGTGAGCAAATTCGTAATGAGAATTAATTTACAAAATTTCTATCTAGCCACTGTTTTCATATGCTTTTTATGAGAGATAGGATAACGCATTCTCTGAGATGAACTGTACTTCGATTTTTTGCTTTGTTTTTGTTTTATATGCATGCCTCCACTCCCTTAACTGAAACTGACATCCCATTAGCACCCAATGCAAACTCGAATTGCTTTTTTCTTTTCCTTGTTTCACTTGTTTCCTTGTTTCTTCCTCCAGATCCAATTGTTGGAGTATCTCTTTTTTTTTTTTTTTTTTACCCACAGTATCACAGTGAATAACTTACTGAAGAACTTCTGGAAATTTCAGCCTTTGGTATTGAAAGTGGAAGGTATTTATTTCAAATATGTAAAGTGCCAGCTTTACCATCATCTTCTATAATGACAGATGACATTGTCTCTGCTTGTGGCATCATGTTCCATAACAACATATCCATCATGTTGTTATGACTGCTAATATTCTACTCTAAAATGCCACACCATAAAAGCTCATAATTTATAAGCTCTATTACTAGGATAGAGGTACATACTTACCTAATGCTTTGCAAAAGACAGGCTTTCACAGTGTGTGATTTTATAGAGTGTGGTCTTATTCTTTTACCTTAAAATGTAGACTGTATCATTCTGCCCTGAGGTAGAAGGCCCCAGGCTGCCTGGGCTGTATGTGATGAGTTCTCTAATGATTCACAACAGGATTTAATTTGTTATGCTACTTCAAGAGCTACTGCTTTCATCAATCAAAAGTGAGAGATTTGAAAATGATGCTAGCAATGTTGATTTCCCTAAATACTACAGGCAGATACAGGCTTAGTCTGAAAGTATCTTTGAGTTACATAATACATTATAACCTTATTCATACAGAATACAAAATGAAAGGAGTAAGTTCAAAATTCTTACTAGTTCTTAAGTTTAGAATACTTGAAAATAACACACTTTCACCTGCTTTCTAATATATACTCATAGACGTCTGATCTCATATATGGTGGTGTTCCCTGGTTCAGCTCATTACCCTTCAACATCTTCTCATTGCATGACTTTTATCCATATTTTTTTTGCTGCATGTTTACCATTGAGGATTCACTCAACATGCTAGAGTTCTTTCTTTAGCTTAAAAATATTACCAGAGATATTAATGCAGCACTCAGAATGATCTTCATTCTGGCTACATAAGTAGTTCACTTTGTTCTCTGGGAATGCATATTGCTTATGTGTTCTATGTCACTTACAGTACCAAAATCTAAGGCAACAAAAGTAACCACATAGAAAATTTTTATCAACAAAGATAATCTATAATATTCAAATTCTGTACAATAGGGTTCCTGGTAAAATAGAATTATTTGTAGAGGATTTTAAAAATTCTTAGAACATAATATTTTATTTCTCTGGCAATTTCCTTTTCATGATTAGTACAAATGCAAACTGAATCCATCCAGTATTTAAATTCTCCTAAATGACATTTATGTAGCACACTAAGGTTTACAAAATGCTTTACAAATTTTATCTCATTTGATTCTCACAGCAGCCCTGGAAGGTAAGGGCTAGTATTATCCCTCTTTTTTACAAATGAGGAAACTGAGGCTAAGATAGGTTAAATTATTTGCCCAGGGTTGTATTGCTGGTGTCTAAGGATGAATTTGAACTCAAATCTTTTTCATTCTAAGTCCAACACTATCCACTATGCCATCTACTTTCCTGATTTCTGTTATACTACTACTATCATTATTGCTGCTCCAATTACTTATTACTACTATAATGGTATTGACTATGTTGTGATGAAAGTAGTTAAAGGTCTAGGCATGAGGTTAGGAAAAACTAGGTTGAAGCCCTACCTTGGACATGTAATAGTTGTGTGACCCTGAGCAAGTCACTTAACTTCTCAGTGCTGTAGTCAGCTCTCTAAGACAAGCTCTCTAAGGCGATACCTTGTCAGGCTTCATCAGCAGAAGGAGTTTCCAAACCAGGAGTTCTTGACACACACCACCACCAACAATAACAACAATACTAATACAGCCACCACCATCACTTTTACTGCTGTTATTGCTGCCGTTTTTACTTTTCCTTATGAATTAATAGTCCAAATTAATGATTCCATGTTACCCTGTTAATGTATAAGTGCACTTATTGGCATATTTTAAGTTACATACTATTTTTGCTAGTTAGCATAATTTTTTGTGATGTATTTGTAGGTAATACTATAAAACAAGTGGTAAGACATGACTCTTTCCCTCTCAAGATGGCAGATAAACTCCCTTCAGAATTCGATGTGATCGTGATAGGGACTGGTTTGCCCGAGTCCATCATTGCAGCTGCTTGCTCGAGAAGTGGCCAGAGTGTTCTACATGTTGACTCGAGAAGTTATTATGGAGGAAACTGGGCTGGTTTCAACTTTTCAGGATTATTGTCCTGGATAAAAGAGTATCAAGAAGAGAGTGATGTTGGGGAAGAGTGGGCAGCATGGCAGGAGCTAATACTGGAAACAGAAGAAGTCATTGTGTTTAGAAAGAAAGATCAGACCATCCGACATGTAGAAGTCATTAGTTATGTCAGTCAGGATTCAGATAATCCCATTGAAGAAGTTGGTGCTGTGCAGAACAATCCTGTGTCTGTGATGTCTCCTGGCCCAAATGACCCTCTGGACTCGATGGACACATCTTGCTCTGACACATCTGAATTACCAGCACCACCCAGTGAGCCAGAGACTGCACTGGAAATACTTGAAGTGGATGTGACACTGGACAAAGGAAATCATAGTGGTTATACTAGTTGCAGCCAGTCAGCTTTGGAACAGGACATAGCTGATCGTGTGCCTATCATAGAAGATGTTGCTAATGCACCCAAGAAGAATAGGATTACTTACTCCCAAATTGTTAAAGGAGGCAGGAGATTTAATATTGATTTGACCTCAAAGCTTCTTTATTCTCGAGGATTATTAATTGACCTTCTGATCAAATCAAATGTTAGTCGATATGCAGAGTTCAAAAATGTCACCAGGATTCTTGGATATCAAGAAGGGAGCGTGCTTCAAGTACCTTGCTCCAGAACAGATGTTTTTAATAGCAAGAAACTCACTATGGTAGAAAAGAGAATGCTGATGAAATTTCTGACATTTTGTTTGGATTATGAACAGCACCCTGATGAATACAAAGCTTATGAGGAAAGTACCTTTTCAGAATACTTAAAAACTCAAAAATTGACACCCAGCCTGAGACACTTTGTCCTTCATTCCATTGCAATGACATCAGAGACATCCAGCAGCACCTTAGATGGCCTCAGAGAAACAAGAAACTTTCTTCAGTGTCTTGGGCGGTATGGCAACACTCCCTTTTTGTTCCCCTTGTATGGCCAAGGAGAGATACCCCAGTGTTTCTGCAGAATGTGTGCAGTATTTGGTGGCACCTATTGTCTTAACCATGCAGTACAATGCCTTGTAGTAGACAAAGAATCTGGAAAATGCAAGGCAATCATAGATCACTTTGGTCAGAGGATAAGTGCTAAGTATTTTATTGTTGAAGATAGTTACCTTTCTGAGAAAATATGTTCAAGTGTGACCTATAGGCAGATATCAAGGGCAGTGCTGATCACAGATCGATCTGTACTGAATGCAGATTCTGATCAGCATATTTCCATTTTGACAGTGCCACCAGTGGAACCAGGGTCTGCTGCTGTTCGGGTCATTGAGTTGTGCTCTTCTACCATGACATGCATGAAAGGAACATATCTTGTCCATTTGACTTGTATGTCCTTTAAAAAAACAGCAAGAGATGATTTAGAATTGGTTGTGCAGAAATTATTCACCCCATATGCTGAAGTGGAGCTGGAAAATGAGGAACAAGAAAAACCAGGTCTTCTGTGGGCCCTCTATTTCAACATGAGAGATTCTTCAGGCATCAATAGGGATTCCTATAATGACTTGCCTTCAAACATGTATGTCTGCTCTGGACCGGACCGTTTTCTGGGAAATGAGCATGCTGTTAAACAGGCTAAAACATTTTTCCAGAACATGTTGCCAAATGAAGAATTTTGCCCCCCTCCACCAAATCCTGAAGATATTGTGTTCGATGGAGATGGTGTGCAACCAGAGGTTCTTGCACCCAAGCCAGACACTGCCAAAGTCACAGGCCAAAGAAACCCAGAAGAGCACGCTGAAAAATAGATGGCAGCCAGGTAGGGAGCCCTAATTCAAGAACTGTACCCAGTGTTCAAATTGTCTTAATGCAAGAAAAGTTTGGAAAAGACTCAAAAGCAGCAGTAAGTCAGTTGTATTTGCAAAATTACAACATATTCAAAGAAACCAGAAGAGTTTTTCCTGCCTTGAAGAAGGGCATTGTGGCACAAAGTCAAAACCACTCTTCTACAACACATTTATTCTGCCTGTTTTAAGATGTTGGGATTTTTGAATTAACAGATGCAGTTTTACTTCTGGGAGCAGCACTAATCAGGATAAGGGATCTGATGAATTGTTAGCTGTTATGTAGTGTTCAGGCACTACTTTTACTTCCTCTGGAGTCTTTAGAAGCACCAAAATATGTTTGTTGTTGATGTTTTCCAGAAACTTTTATACTTGAGTTTACAAAAGAACTGTCTTACTAGCTAACAGTATATTGTTTAAGCAAAATGGTTATCTTCACACTTGGAATCTTTTTCTTCAGTAGGAAACCTCAGTGACTAGAATCAGAAGCAGGAACAGCTTTAAGAACAAGTTTTGACAGTGCTCGTGGGCACTGAAAGAAACAATGGGGTGGACTTGGCAGGAATAGCATTCACTAGGTTCTTAAAAATAATTTGCAAAATTACTTTTACAGAATCACAGGGAAATTTCTTATATGGAAAAATAGATCATTAAAATAATGTTATCTTATTCTCTTCAAGTAAATAATACAGCATTCTATGATAAGAATAATTTTCTTTGTGGATGTAATGCAGTGGATAGAGCACTGGGCTTGGGAAGACTTGAATGAGGCCCTGGATAAGTTACTCAACCTCTGTTTGCCTCAGATTCCTCAACTGTACAATGGGGATAGCAGCATCTGTCTCACCAGGTTGTTATGAGGATCCAAAGAGATGGTATTTATAAAGGCACTTAGCACAGTGCCTGGCATGCAGTAAGCATGATATAAATGCTTATTCCCTCCTTTCCCTTTCAAGTGTTGATGGCTTCTATACATGAGCATTTCTGTAACTGGAACTGCACAATACTTTAATAAAGGGTTGTCCAGCTATGTAAAATGAGACATGTTTGCCTGTCTATACTAACTTAAAAAAAATGACTAACAAAACAAAAAAAAGTTAATTATTCGCCAGAACTAGAGCAATAAGTGTTGTCTGCACAGGATAAGAAACTAAGAATTTAAACAATGTGACAGTATTATGAATTAACAATAGAGAATGCTAATCCCTATTGTGATCAGTCAGTACCCTGTCCCACCAGCCTCTGTGCTCTTATGACTTGCAAGCTAACCCAATGGATTGTGCTCTGAAACTACTCAGGAATTCTCCTGCTGCTTCAATCTCTTGCCAGTACATGTCACCCCTGCCCTTAATCCAGTATTCACTAGGAGACTTGTATGTAGAAAAACAAAAACAAAACAAAACAAAACAAACAAACAAACAAAAACAACAAACACCAGGAACTCAGAGCTAAGAAGGTGGGGCTATGTTTTGCTTGAACAACCCCTAGCTTAGCAAACACTGAAGTGTCAGAAACTCTGTCCAGACCACCCAATCTATCCTCCCCCAAACCTTCAAATAATAGCATGATTCAGTCCAGCCAGAGAATTTTTAAAAATGGAGAGAATTGGGTCAAGTGACTGCATGTAAGGATGTACCAGGCGTGAAGGAAAGGGGACTGGAATGCAGCTGGAGCCAGTTCTGTCCCCAACAAAGTTACCTGGAGAAGGGTCTAAGTTCAGTGAAAGTGAATTCCCTAACTTGGAAGGAGACTGAGAGAGTAAGATATAACCTTGGGGGTAAACCTATAATAAAAAGAGAAAGAATTAGAAAATAAATGATAAAAGTATGGGGAGGGGTAGGGAAGTAACATCATCAAATAGCTCAGGAGGAAAAAAACTCCAATAAAAAATCTAGACCACAAGTAAATAAATCAACAGAGAAGACATTGAAGTCAGAAAGGAAGATGGCTAACAAGACTTTTAGAAGATTACAAATATCTGTGAATCAATATTAGAAGACTAAGGCATTTGGACCAACACCTGATGAAACACAGAGCCCTGTGGATTCCCAAGAGAACATGGAAATACTAATTATCAAATAGAAGATCTTGAATCCATGGTGGCTGTTCTCACCCCCAAAGCCAGAGACAATAACAGATCATGAATAGAAATATAATGTAGAACAAACAAATACAAAAGAAGCAAAAAACAATAATTTAAAAGAATATATAATCTCCATACAAGTTAAAATGTATTAACCTCAAGGAAAGAATGCATGTAGACAATTTAAGTATTTGGTAACCTCTCAAAAGAGCAAAGTAAGTCAAGAAACCTGAACATAAGATGCTGGAGAATACCATTCCCCCCCAAAAAAAACCTGTCCAAAATTTATTAATACAAAAAACAAAGCACAAATCAAAAGAATCCACAGGTCACATACAGGAAGGGGAAAGAAAATTTGAATGACACAAGACTATTCCCCACCCACCAGGAACTGTAAAAGGTAATGGAATAATATATTCTGAAAAGCAAAGAAACTGAAAATGCAACTTAAAATGACATACCAAGAATTTGGAGTATTACTGCCCAAAACACCCCCCACAAAAGACAAGAGAAGATTATTTAATGTTTAAATATTGCAGACAATAGAAATGCAAGAAAAGCAAATGAATACAACTAGTAAGGAGAAAATAAGTAATGAAATAGTTTATCCCATCTCTGAAGACTATTAAAAGAAGAAAAAAGCAAATTAAAAAGAGAAAGAGACCTCTGAAGTTAAAAAAAAAGAAATAACATTAGAGGAATCATTAAAAATTTCTACAAATACCTAAAGGAAAAATATGAGATGAAAATTTAAAGAAATAGGAAAAAATATAGTGTAGAAGCAAGCCTGAAATACCATAAACACCAAATTCTGAAGCTTCCTATAAGTGAATCATTATATTTTCTGAGTATGAAAGGATGTATGAAAGTTGATAAGGGAGGTGGAAGGTAGAGGAGAATGTGATAAGTGACCCTAATCACATCTATGAAAAGAAGAAAAGGAAAAATAACACATATAATCTCTCAGCAAGAAGCCTAGAGTAAAATTGCTGAGGGGGCAAAAGGAAATTGGAATGAATGTTGGTAAAGAAATGGTGGGTGGGGCTCCCACTGAAGACTTCTCCTATTGGGGAATAGCTATATTCTGTGAAGACCTTACAATTTGGCTATGTGCAGTGATTTAGTGCCCAGAGAAATACTTTCCTCTTTTCCATGAACAGCATCCAGCCTTAGCCAAATGAAATCAGGACTCCTAGGGCCAATCAGCTTCTTATAGGGAAAGAGGGCATGGACCCGGAGAGGAGATTGCAAAGGGGAAAGAAAAAGATCATGAGGAGAGCAGGGAGTAAAATTGGACAGAACAAGTTGGGACACAGCAAAATACCATCCTTGTTAATTCTGTCAGGAATTGATGGTTCCAACAAAAGAAAAAAAAAAGCAGAGGTAGAGAGTGAGGGACCAAGGTCTACTAGACAATAACATAGAAGTTGTTTATAAGAGGAAATTCCAACTTGGTAGTTTTTGAATATTTAATTCCATGAGGAACAAAAAGTGACTGAAAAAGGAATAGATAAGTATAAAGTCTGAGAATTAAAGAATAAAAACTTAGGATGGAAAAAAAAAGAATTACTGAAGAGAACAAGGTAAGGACATGCTTGAAAAAAAGGTTAGGAAAATTTTTAAAAATCAAACAAAGTAAGCAGAAGGGAGAGGGAAAGGAAGCTTTTAACCACTTAATATAGAGACAAAGAGATAACAAGAAAGAAAGATTTATTTCTCTCTTAATTTCCTTTAGTAAAATAAAGAAAAAAGAATCAATAAGGGAGGTAAAATTTCAAAATTAGAAAGAGGGTTGCCAAATGGGAAGGGGTCAGGATTAAGAAAGGAGGAGAAAGAAGAATATGGTAATAGGGTTGTCTTAAAGTAGATTAAGCAAAAGTAATCATAGCTACAAAGTAGTGTCCTAAAAGGAAGCCAAAAATAAAAATACATATCCTAATTTGGTCAATTGATACAGTGGACAAAAATCATAAGTTTGAATTCTGGAACTTTATCTGTAAAAGGAAATAGTTGAACTTAGTAACTTCCAAGGTCTTTTAGACTAAACTTTTTTGAGTGAGGGTATACTATGATCAAACCTGTGTATTGGGGAGATTATTTCTGCAGCTGGATGTACAGGAGGATGGGAGAAGGGAGAACTAGAGAGAGATTATTTAGGAGGACAGAACAATAGCCCAGGTGAGAGGCAGGAAGGGCTGAACTAGGGTGCTGGCAATGTTAATGTAAGGGTAGGGGAAAGCTACAAGATTTAGAGTTAGTGGATCTGGATTCAGATCCCTCCTTCACAGTACTATCCAGGTAACCTTAGACAATTCACTCAACTGCCCTGACCTCATTTTCATTATCTATAAAAGGAGGGGCTGGAGGAGGTTGGACAGTATGGCCTTTGAGGTCACTTTCAGCTCTAGATCACTCTCAATGGACCAAACTTTCTTGTTCAGACTTCTTTTTGAGAAAAGGGCTGGAGACCAAGGAATTTTGTTCTGAACAAGATTTGTTTCCCTAGACCAACAACATTAGAAGGGACAAAAAGTATAAATCTAACTTCAGTATTCCATCTTGGATATTTTAAAGGCAAGGAGTAAGCACCCACTCATGATATCTCCTTCCCTTAATGTAGAAATCACTCTATACGTTGGAGTAGAGGTGGGCTAGATTCCAGAGATGAACATGACACCTGTAGTTGCAAGTGACTCTATCTGTTAGCCAGTCAATAAATATGTATTAAGCACTTCTATGTACCAGGCACAGTGCTAAGCTCTGGGGATATAAAAAGAGGCAAGACAGTGCCTGCCTTGAAGGGGCTTACAATCTAAAGAGGAAGATAATGAACAAATATGCATGAACAAGCTATATACAGGGTAAATAGGAGATAATTAAAAGAGGGAAGTCATTAGAATTAAAAGGGGCTTGGGAGAGGATTCCAGTAGAAGATAGAATTTTAGTTGGACTTAAAAGAAGTCAGGGAAATCAGTGGGTAGAGATGAGAAGGGAGAGCGTTCCAAGTAAAAGGAACAGCCAGAGAGAATATGTGGTGCTCAGAGATGAAGTGTTATACAGATAGGAATGTCCCTGGATTGAAGAGTTCATGGAGGGGAGTAAAGTATAAGAAGACTGGAAATGTAGAAGGGAGCTAGTTTATGATGGGCTTTGAACACCAAACAGAATTTAGTATCTGATCCTGGAGGAGACAAGAGAATTTATTGAATAGGAGAGTGCCATTGTTAGACCTATGCTTTAGGAAAATCATTTTGGTAGCTGAATGGAACATACATTAGAGTGAGGCAGGCAGACCCACCAACACACTTTTGTAATGAATAATCCAGGTATGAGGTGATAAGGGCCTATACTAGAGTTACGACAATCAAAAGAGAGAAGGGGGCAAATTAGAGAAATGTTACAAAGGTGAAATTGACAGGCCTTGAGAACAGATTTGATAGGACTGGTGAAGAGACAATTCTGAGTCCAGGGTGATTCTTGTGAACCTGAAGGAGTAAGAGGTTAGTTTGTGTTACCTTCTACAGTAAGAGGTAGGTAGTAGGGAGGGTGTAGGGGGAAAGACAGCAATTTCTGTTCTGGACATATTGAATTTAAGATGTCTCCTGGACATCTAGTTTGAAGTGTCTGAAAGGCAGTTGGAGATGCAAGATTGGATATCAGCAAAGAAATCAGGGCAAGCTAGGAAGATCTGAGAACTGTCAGTATAGAGATGGTAATT